GGTCTGCAAATCATTGATTGCAAGGGGTATGAAATTGTACAATCATCATATTTCTATAATAGTTACAAACTGTAAAGACTGCAGCTGTGCCTGCCCCTTTAATAAGACCTTTTACATGGATTTCTTTGAAGCAACATGAGATATACAGGTACAAGGGGAAAAGGCTATGAAGTAAGAACAAAACCACCAGAAAACACCTTACTGCAGCCCAGGAGAAGAAAATCCAGTTACTGTAGAATAAATCTATAGAGAGGAAAAAAGGACATTATCAAATTGTTTCTAAGAAAGGCTTTACTATTAGTTATACTTATACAAGTAATGTGCACATTAAAATCTACAAAGGTATGACGAGTAGTCAGAAAGCAACCTATGTCACACAAATTTGTCAAGGAAATATATCAGTTATTACATGCAGATATACAAGAAAAGACAAGTGCTTTGAAAAGTAAACATGAGTAAGATATCACATCAATACATAACAGTCAAAATAATCATACATGTATCATGTCAATATAATGTATCAAAACTTCAAATCAAACTATCAAATCTTTAATAGGCAATAATAGATATCACATCTCTTATGCATACATTTTCTTACTGATTTAATTCAAAGGGCAATTATAATAGTTGCAAAACTGAAATGCAACAACATGCAAACATGACATGTACATGTACTGTACATAATTAATTATCCAACAAAAGATCTTTACTAAAAATCTACATACTACACATGAACCATGCATTCATAAATGTTGCTTCTTTAGACAATTTGTATTCAGCCATACATTGTACGCCAACCAAACTTTCAAAATACATGTACAATGGCATGTACTACAAATATCTCTTCAAAATTATGACCAATGATATTAAGAGTTCACAGTATGAACTTCGCATATGTGGTCTGATGCATTGTGGGTAACATGTCAGAGTTGAGAATTAAAAAAATGGTGGCCAGGGGCCTTCAACTTTGATATATTACCCACAGTGCATTGGACTGCACATGCACACTTCAAACCGTGAACTACCTTACGGTAATACTTTCTTTATGAGTTTTTTTCCAATCTTACGGGATGGTTGTGTTTGGCTGGACTGTACATGCAGCTGAGAGGATTATCTTCGAATTCAAATGCAATTTACAAAGTTCTTGCTTTTATCCATCTCTAAAGCGAAAGCTACATGTGTATACAAGTTCATTGAAGTTGGACACTTACTTGAAGGTGTATGTCAAGTTGTAGTCTGTTCTGATCAACGGGTCCCGACCGCGGTTCCACCAACACGTGAAGGCGACGAGATTGTCGGACTGACAGCGCTCGAACCTGGGCTGATCTGGAGGGTCTAGAAGGGTCGTGAGACGAGTGACAAATGTCATTATTGAGGCCTCTGCACCATTATGTACATGTAGTGTAGAGCGTATAGAGCACACAGAGAATATATTCATAACGGTCACACACTACTACTAGTACTATTCATAATGTTAGAACTAAGCTACTTAATTGTGAACTAGTATTGGCACACCACACACATGTACACCAATGTAACTCCTTGTACTGAGCACCCAGTTACACCATAGCATAATTCCACTAGGTGTGATTTGGACAGTGACATTTGGTAGAAAGTTAATCAAGATAGCATTCTGGAGTAAAGGCTACATGTATATGAGACATGTTGTCCAAACCACACCAGTTGGGACAAACTTATGCAATGATTCCCCAGTAAAAGGAGTTAGATAGGAATGACTTAACATTGACTTTCATTAATGAAATGGATGGCAAAATGTAGTAATGATCACTAGTGCAGGATAATGAGTGCATGGTTATGGGAAATGCATTTTGGTAATAACCTCTGTAATACATTAGTTTGTTGTTAGATTTGTCACTTAATGACTGTTAACATCATCCAAAGTCTGTTGATTAGTTGTTGATAAACTAAAAAAATCAGGTGGTTAGTTGATTAGTTAAGTGATTTTGTTTGATTCCCTTAGTTGTCATTGATTTGTTTATTGTCTGTTGACTGACTAGTTTTATTTGATTGGTTTATTTTGATTGACTGTAATGGTAATTAATCACCTCAACTTATTGATGTTTATTTGTTTGTTTATCAAGCTACATTTAGCAACACTGTTTAGGGATATTGAAACTCTCACAACTAATTACATCTATTTGCTGGTTTATTGGTTTAAAATAGATTTAATTGCCTTGTTATTAAATTAATAGATTGTTCATTACGTATTGTTTAATTGTGCTTGATTTCCTGATAATTGATTAGTTCACTGATTAGCAGATTGATTGACAAAATAATTTATTGGTTGGTTGGTTCGTTGGTTGTTTTTTTTTTTCCATCCAATTATATAATTTACCCACCGAACGCGTACTTACATCCAACTTTGAGTACCTGGCCACCTTGTAGTCCAGAGGGAGGAGGCAGATAACATTCGTATCTACCAACTGAGCTGACCACAACCGGATTTATCACCAGCTGAAGCAAGCTGTCGCTTAGCACACGATAGCTTTCGTTAGGTAATTGCAAGCCATTAAATTTCCAATATGCCTGGCGAGCCGTATACACCGACGTATCACGCAGCGTGCAGTTTAGGACGAACACAGAACCATTTACAGCCCGGGGGTCATTTGGCGTTACAACACCTGTTAGTGCAGGGAAAACAAACAACAACAAAAAACGATTATTAATGTTATCTCCACAGGTTTACTTACAGCCTACTTCAAGTCGCTCCCCCCCAATATACTGGTCGGTCCGGCGCGACCGACACTCGTAGTTTCCCTTCGAGCTTTCCGTGATGTTGGGGATGACCAGCTGGACCAAGGTTGGGTTCACGACATGCTGCCACTCCGGAGAGACCCTCTTGCTGTAATGCTTCCAGATGACGTCATCCGCAGTGAAGGACGATTGGTTGACGGTGCAGTTGAAAGTAAACGAAGACCCTATTTCCGCCACCGGACTTTTGGGCTGAACGTTGTTCTTGATGACTGTACATTTATAACTTAACAATGGTCAGACTTGCAAGAAAGCAACGCTACACCACTTCAACTTAAAGTGCCTAGTATATGTGTAGTTTCTTAAGATTACCTTTTTGGACGACAGGGCTTACCTTTTTGGCTATTTAACTGCACTGCTGCAGGAGACATTTCAATTTAGCATCACACATTTTTCCATTCCATAAAAAAAACTGTCTCATAATGTGATGCATAGCAGGTCGGTTGTATCTGTGAAAGAATGAATAGACTCTGAGGCAATTTTTGCATACTACTCGCCACATGTGACATGTGACGTTAATTTCATCATCGGACAATGTAGGTTTAGCCTAATAGGTGCAGGTAAGTAGACATCAGAAATATCCTACAATAATCTGCATATGCTAGATTTGGTGGTGTTTTGAGCCCTGTACTATAGTACATTGTACAGATTAGAAAATTTAGTGCTGATGTACATGTAGTACAATACATCAGCACTAAATTTTCTAATCTATACAATGTATAAATGTACAGGTATGCCTTGCATGTACATATTGGCCTTCTAAATTTCATCCAATAATATCCATTCAACTTTTCCCTGAGAAACAGTCCTACATTGTGTACTTGAAGTGGTGTAGCATACAAGGAATTGCATCATTGCTTTTACATTACGGTTACATGGACAACATCAAGTTTCTTAATAAAGATATTAACTTAATATGTAATGATAAATGAAAATAGTTTAATCTGAAGGTTTTAAATTTGATTAAATATCAGGCAGACTATCATAACAAGTTTGTCTCTCTATTCACAGTAAAATTCTGGTTGCAGTACATGTTGCATGCAACACTGTATTTGGAATCTTCACTGGGGGCCTGCATGAAAGTGGGAGGGGGGTGTACTGTGTGTCAATTCTCTCTATGCAGAATTCAGGAAAGCATTGGCTATATATTACTAGTAGTACAGTAATCAACTTCAGCACACTGGCTTTTGCATACTCTAAATTCAGGTGTGTATTTTGCGTAGAATGCACGCTCTATGTCAAATTTGAGGGGTAAATACAATATACATGTACAATGTACATGTACAAATCACACATTCACATATGGAGTTAAAATAGGACATGTACATATACGTACATATACTTGACAATCACATGCAGGTAAGTAGACATGCAGGCCCCCCGTGACTTAAACAACTGAAGGTAGTTATACTAGTGCGCATACTAGTCTAGAAGTTTCATGTACAATCATTATTATGTACCCACCATCCAATTGGAGCCAAGCTTGTGCAGTAGTCATGAGCAGAGCGCTCACAACCAGCAGACAGCGAGCAGCCGAATGTGTTGCCATGGTGAAGTCACGACGTCTAACTACAACACGACGCTACCGTTTCATCTAGTACACCGTCATGGACATCTAGAGAGAAGAAAGGCTGTTAGAATTTACGAATTTGAGCTTACAAAATGTATAAATATCCCATGCCAATTCAATTTCTTGGTTCAAGAATTTTCACAGGAAATATTGGAGATGACACTGGTGAATTACTGTACATGTAAACAGCAATGCAAATAGGAATCCTGTGATATACATCGATGTATAAAAATATTGTATATCCAAATGTTATAGCGGTCAGTATACTACATTGATAAACATCTCAAATGATGACTCTTTAACTTTCAATGCATTGAAAATAGAAAACTATAAAAAGCAGGAATTTCTCCAGATAATCATATTTTGGCGTTGATTCATATCGATTGTCTTTTTTTTTTTCAAAATTAAAAGTGGCAAATCTCAGAGCCAAGAAATCAAATTGGTCTTATATATTGTATTCCAAAGTGCCAAAATGTAATGATAACATAAAGAAGCCAAAGTTGAATAATCATTATTCAAAGCATATCATCTAACTATAAGTGTAAGGTTTGTTTCCTTCTTGTGTTTATTCAATTTTGTGTAACATGAATGCAAATCTTGGTCCTACAGGGGAAGTTTAAGTTAACCAAAGACTCATCATCAGCTTCTCAGCCATCATATTGTCTTGTCTAGAACTAACACTTGCAGGGGTGTACTTTGGATTAATCAATTATACATATACAGTAAGTCTTTATAAGCCTACAATTCACTGGCAAAGACCAGTAACGTTCCCCAGAGTTTTTCAGCCAGGTTGCCATCTCCATTACATGCTTTTAAAGTTGATCCCAATGGGTAAGGTCATCAGTCATAGTCATACTCTACTACATAGATAACAACATGGTCTGCATCAACCCTCCCGCCAGACTGGCGTCTTTGCACATCAACTACGTACAGTCAAACCTGCCTAAGAAGGTCACCCAGGGGACCAAGGTAAAGTGGTCCTCTTGGACAGGGGCCATCTTTGGCAGGGGCCAAGGCACAAATGCTTGTGCCAGCCTATTGAAAAAAAAATCAGGAACTAGACTAGGAAACATGGCCAGCTTGGCATGTATGACTACAATTGTTCATGGCTCATTAGTTGAATAAGATAGAATAGATTAGAATAGCAGTTACATTGTTCCTATTACCTGTTCACATATTGCATATTTACTTTTTTATCCTGTATGTATACCAACGTTATTAGATTTAAGTAGAGATAGTAGGTTCGATAAGTATATCGTACACGTAGAAGTTCCTGTCAGCAAATAGTCTTATACATGTATCACCACATTTTCTTGTCAATGTATGCAATTAGCCCTCGGGCAGGAATTTGCAATAAACAACTTCAATTATCTTTGTATTTATCAGCTTGTTTGTTGACATAACAGGTACACGTACATGTGCCTCCAGGCAAGGTAAACATACACACATTCTTTCTATTCTAAAGGTTAACGATCAGACTGATCCACTCATACCTACTTACACGTGTACCCCTATTCTTAAGTTATAGTACTTAGGCCACACCAATTTAATTTGTTGTTTCTCGGATTCGCCCTGTCCATTTTTTTCTGATTTGCCCCCCAAAAAATTTTTTGGTTCTAAATTAACTTCAAAATGCTCAATGAAAGACATATTTTGGCCCCAACGGTTGATAAAAGTCCTTTTCTTCCTAGTTCTTAAGTTTTACAATGTAACAATGCAATTTTGTTTCATTACAAGTTCAAAATCTATTGTTTTAAATATAAGCCAGCCTGGTATGTTCACTTCATGGCTCATATTGTACATTTCTGGCTATGATTGGGG